TTTGAGGCCCCTTCCAGTGACCAAATTAAAGGTCCTAATTCCACAAAGCTTTCCTCTCTGCGGAGACATCATCATGCAGAAATCAATGAATTCAACACATGTAACATGTAATCAGCATCAGCTAAAGATATTACTTAAATACTCCCTTAATAAGACACAAAAAGAATCCAAAAAAAAAAAGATTATTGTGTGGGTTCCAACCTCTCTTAATACTTTCTTTTTCCATTTTTCTTCTTAATAGATCATCTATGATGTATTAGTGAAAAACACATTGTGATTATATAGTATGCGCCTTACTTGAATTCACAATAAGTAATCTATAAAATAATAATAACAATAATAAATATATATATATATTAAATGGAATATCACTACCGGTTGTATAGCCTCTCTTGGATCGTAACCATAAATATCCCACTAATCAAACCCGTTTTGAATATAGAAACTTGGAAACTCATATATATGTAATTGTCTCCTTTTATTTGATATGGTTGGCCTAGATGCTAACATGGAAATTTCTAAATTGAATATACTTTCATTGATATATACTTCTGTTTGTGGTAATTGCTCAAACTATAAAAGTTAATGAAAAATATGGACATAGTTCATCAAAGGAAACGATGGAGAGATTATTGCAATGAATTAAATATACGAGAAAATCAAGGGATTTTGAACTCAATATGGAAGCTTGTCAAGTCATCACAGTGTCATCACATACCAATATTTACTAAGTCATCGTCTATATATGCAGTCATATTATAAATAAGCATCGATAAACAGACATATTTAGAGTAAATCCAGAAAAAAACACTGTAGAGTGCAGTAAAAAAGAAGATCAAGAATGGGTGATGTTAATGAATCTTCTTCTCAATTGCAGGCTTCCTCTTGGACATGGGAGGAGAACAAGCAATTTGAAATTGGCCTTGTAGAGTTCCCGGAGAACATTCCTAACCGATAGGAAAAGATTTTTGATCTTCTTCCTGGAAAGTCGGTTACTCGAATGTCAAAAATAATGTTACTTGAATGTCAAAATATCCAACAAGATTACCTAGAGAAAGGGGCAGACACATCAGCTTGTAGAAAAATAGAGGTTGCTTACGCGAAAGCAAAGACAGTTTGAGATTGCTCGTGAGAGAGTGACTCTTGAGACCGAGCTTCTGGCGACCGTGAGAGAGTCGATAAGTTGGAGGTGGGCTAACCGTGAGGCTGTTCGCATGAGAACAGATGCAGAATTTGAGAGTTGCTTGTGAGAGAGTTACATCTTTTGAGGCCGAACTTTTGGCGACCCGTGAGAGAGTTGCTAAGTTGAAGACATAGGCTGTCTACTTGAGAGCAGAACAGAGACAGGTCAAGCTTTTGGCAATCTGTGAGAGAGTACCTAAGCTGGAGATACGGGGTGTCTGCTTGAGAACAGAGGCAAAATTGGAGGGTTAGCCCATAGGAGGGTCACCAAGCCGAAGGCTCATTCCAATAGATGGAGATGATGAGAGCGCTGAGGAGCTGGACACCTTAGAGCCTAACGCCTAAGAAACTAGTTTTTGAGGGCTGGCGTCTGAGGTGCTGGGCGCCTAGAGCTTGGTGCCTAAGGGGCTGGGAGCCCACGGCTTGGATCCTGAGGAGTTAAGGGCCTCAGGGCTGACACTTGAGGAGCTGGGCATCTGAGGTACTAGTCGCTTGAGATGCTGAGCGCCTAGATCCTGGCGTCTGAGGAGCTGAACGCCTGGGTAAGAGCACTGATGGGCCCCTGGCGCCTAGCGCTGAATCTTCTTGACAATCTCCTTCTTCAAGTGGTGTGAGCTCAGCCACAAAATCTTTTGTTATCTGTGCCTCTGTGGCTTCTTTTTTTAGAGTCAGACACAAATAATGATGATGATGGTGAAGACTCACCTCACCTAACTTTGGTGACATCCTTGGCGTTTATGTATTTCTGAGCTTTTGCCCACAATTATGGAATTCTCTTTAGTGGGTGTTTCATCATTGAGAAGAGAAAACTAAATGAGCGTAGGTCTCCCAAGTAAGCAGTCATGGTGACTTTGTCATCGGGCTCCTTAATCTAGAGCATCTCCTCGTTAAAATGAGTGATGTAACTCCTCAGACTCTCGTCTCGATCCTACTTTATGTTGAGCAGGTAGGTGGCAGGCTTCTTGTGATAACGTCCTCCAATGAAATGTGACAAGAAAGACCTGCTTAGATTGGCAAAGGAGCCAATGGAGGCTGGGGTGAGCTTGGCGAACCACTGTCAGGCTGTACACATGATTTCATCGGGGACGTTCTGTAGTTGCATTAAGGACTTGTAGATTTCGAGGTGATCAAGTGAGTCTTTTGTACTATCAAAAATTTCGATGGATAACATTTTAAACTTTTGAGGAAGGAGGTAGTTTGTCACGTCTAGCACAAAAGACGTGTCAGTTCGCCTTACGAGATAGTTCACAGTATCAAGTCCTTGTGCCTTCATGGCGTTGAAGACGTCGCCTAGTTAATTTTGCACCTCTTTGATTTTTTTTGTCCTAGTAATTTGGGGCTCTTTTGAAATTGTCGTGGAAATGACTCTCATATTCCATGTTTTGATTTTCGCCCATATTCTCTTGGAAATAAAGGTCTCCACCATAAGAAGAGAGAGCTTGAGAAGAGAGAGCTTGAGGAGGAGGTAGAGGTGCATCATGGTTCTGGTGCGGGGCTCTCCTATATGGGGGGCCCAAGGGGGCTCCTAAGTGGGGAGCTCCTTGACGCCCAGGGCGTGGAGCTCCTCTGGCTTGAGATCCTCCGGGTTGTGCTATTCCTTGTTGTCTAACGAATATCAGTTGCAAAATCTATTGATTCTGAGTTACGAGTTGTTGCATTGTCTCCAACATCTGTTATGCATTTGGAATAGAATTGGTTGGTGAAGGAGCAACCTCCTCCTCTCATGTTAGATTGTCTTCAGACTGATTCATGGATCTAGTGGTGATCGTCATTGGTATAACAAGAAAAATGTTTAGGCGAGAATTTTGGTGATTCTCATAGACGACGCTAAACTGATGATGCATAAATTGATTTGCACACTACCTGTCAAGTAATCAATAATAAATGCAGTAGTGAAGTAGAGAGAGATAGAAATACAGGCAAGACAAAGATTTATAGTGATTCGGTCAACGTGACCTACGTCTACTTTGAATGGCTAGAGTCGCCAGAGTATTTTATTACTTCAAGTTTGTAGTGAGAGCAGGAAGACACAAGCTAAGAGAGTGATAGTAGGTGTGCTCAGTTGAGTGTAAGATGTCACCCAAATATTGGCGGGGCTTATAATTTATAGTCGTCTCCTAACAGATAGAGATAGCTTATCAGTAACTAAAAAGCTAATTTGGTTGAGCTGGCGCCATCTTCTCAACGAATGAGGCACTCCCCATAAGATCCGGTCAAAAGATGACGTGGTGGTTGATTTTTTTCAAGGCGGCGTGGATGAGGCTCTTGGATAACCCTTACTCCAAGGTGGCTAAGATAAGGCGCTTGGGATGACCTTACTCCAATGTGGCTAGGATGAGACTCTTGGATGACCCTTACTCCAAGGTGACTAGGATAACTCTTGGGATGACTTTTACTCCAAGGTGGCTAAGATGAAGCTCTTGGATGGCTCTTCCTACTCCCTTGGTGATGTAGTTTCTCGAACCCTAATGAGCTTGACTAGACGTGGACCTCTTGTGGGCTAAACCCATTGGACCTTGTCTAGTTAGATTCTCTATTCAGACTGAACTTGTAATATGAGTTGGACCTTGGGCCTACCCATCAACATTATCTTTACTTGGTGCACGATATAGTAGCAACCGAAGCTGGGCTTATTGAGCTGCCACAACATGCAGATAATTCAAGCCAAAAATACAAGAAGGTACAAAGAAGAGAAGTGAGAAAGTGGACTGAAGACGAACATAGGTAATGTGATTATACGCATTATTTTCCTGGCCATTTAATAAGTACAATTACATACTCTACAAGATTTCCCTTGTGGAAACAACCATAATCATAGTGCTAGCTANCTAGTGGGTACCTCCTCCTTTGAGTGCAAGGGCTTATATGCGAGGGGGGAAGACGACTCTCTTCCGATGTGGGATACGGTGCGCCCTCCCCACATTAGGCTAGGCCAGGGCTCCGGCTCAGGAAGAGGGGTAAAGGCTACTCCCGAACGCGCGGAGGTCAAGCCGAAATCCTGAGTGGAGGGTTTCATCCCTTACACTAGTCATGCCCAAAAATTCACCCAACGGAAGCAAAAGGGTGAAAAAGAGAAGAAAAGTTCAAGCGTCCTTGATATCACCAAAGTTTCCATGGCCATCACTCAAGAGTATGTTCCTCCTCCATCCAGTAGTAACGACATTGCGAATAACGAATCAAGCTCATGCCAACCATCAGACTATTTTTTTGTTCAAGATGGCTTGCTCGAAGATGAACACTTGGAATTTCGCCAGGAAATATGAGGAATTTATATTTACTCTTTTCTAACACGAGAGGAAGATCGAATTGATTCAGGTTTAGCTAGTGTTTAGTTATAGTTTAAGTCCTCTATTGCAAGGAAGCAATACTTTAGCGGATAGGCATGATAGGTTAAGGGATGGATATTTCCTTTCTTTTTTATTTTTTTATGGATTANATGGCTTGCTCGAAGATGAACACTTGGAATTTCGCCAGGAAATATGAGGAATTTATATTTACTCTTTTCTAACACGAGAGGAAGATCGAATTGATTCAGGTTTAGCTAGTGTTTAGTTATAGTTTAAGTCCTCTATTGCAAGGAAGCAATACTTTAGCGGATAGGCATGATAGGTTTAGGGATGGATATTTCCTTTCTTTTTTATTTTTTTACGGATAATATTTTTTTTATTGTTTCAATTCCATAATAAGTATTATTTTACATACTCCAGCCCTTGAATTATCAAACTTTCCTGCACGTCTTTAAACAGCTACAAAAATCGATAATTTAGTATCCAACTATATAAACGCGGGCGCAGATCTATGAATAGCCGATGTTGTGAGAATAGGACCAAAATTATCGANTCAATTCCATAATAAGTATTATTTTACATACTCCAGCCCTTGAATTATCAAACTTTCCTGCACGTCTTTAAACAGCCACAAAAATCGATAATTTAGTATCTAACTATATAAACGTGGGCGCAGATCTATGAATAGCCGATGTTGTGAGAATAGGACCAAAATTATCGATGGGTTCCCCAAGCAATAAGCATGTTAAAAATTGTCCTAGAGAAGCTGTCTGGGACACTTAAGAGGAGCTCTCATTATTCACTTTCATTCTTCTAAGAAACCATCTCTACCACCACAAGTCATATTAATTTGCTGATCGGCTATATCACTATCCATAACTGCTTGGGCTACATCCACTATGTATTCATTGGAAACCACATCAAAACCCAGTTCAAAAAAAAAAAACACAACTTAAATATACTTTCAAAAAATGAAAGAAGTCATTTCTATCATTGATTAATGAAATCCAGCATCAGATACAACAGAAAGGTACTATTCCAGCTTGAACAGAACAGTACAACACAATACAACACTACTCTCAAGAAAACAGAAACAGAAACACANCAGCATCAGATACAACAGAAAGGTACTATTCCAGCTTGAACAGAACAGTACAACACTACTCTCAAGAAAACAGAAACAGAAACACAAACAGAAGCCGGAAAAATCACTACAAAACAGCACACTACGGGATTCCTCAGGTAATACAGGCACAAGAACCTGCCTTTCAGGCTCGGAAATGACCAAGTCTACAAAAAAATAATCAAACGCTGTGCAATGGACATTCTCATTTTGTCCTACAAAAGATTGGGAGGAAAACCTTGCAATCCAAACACTGGGGAATAATTGAATTACTACTTCTAAGCAATCTCTAAGACACAAAACTGCAGTACCAATGACTTCAGAGTACAATAGCCACCTTCTCCTGGGAAATAAGTGATGAAGTTTGAGCAATAAGGGGCTCATAATGATCAGCACCAGCACCACACCAACCTGTAAGAGAGAAGGTATTGCAGACTCATCATACAACTTCAAGGCAGATGAGAAATTAGGCAGCTATGCTACAGGTGAATACCAACCCCCCCCCCAAAAAAAAAAAAAAAACCCCTCTCTCCCCCCCTCTTCCCCACCAAAAGGGGGAAAAAAAAAAGGAAAGGAAAAAAAAGACCCCAATTTGAACAAGGAAAGAATACAGGCCTAGGATGGGAAAATTTTCTTTATTTTTTATTTTAAATAAAATCGTATACATCCATTCATCAATCAATGGAATTAACCAGTCTCCGGCAAAAACTTATCTTATCAATAAGGTCTTGCATACGGTATACTGAAGAGGTCCCATTACCTGTCCCTTTCATGAATAGAAAGAAGGGAGATCCACATATTTGGCTCCTTGGACTATGTGGGAGGAAGAAAACACAATTTTCTTCATCTACCATCGCATCCGATCCGTGTGCTTGCACCTATAAATGATAGATCAAGATAAGAAAGCTTAGAAATCTATGCGTCTTACTTTGACTGCATAAAAAAGTTGAACAGAAAAAAGCAATACATAGACAGGATTACTATACGTCTGCAGAGTAGTTTCATTGGCATGATTAAATAAAAGAAAAACAAAATCAAAGAAAGATGAATGTAAGAAAATTAACTAAATGAAGAGCAGATAGGATTTTTAGTTCAAAAGTAAAATTTGAGCCAGATACTCTCTAATACTAATAATGATGCTAGGCACATAATCTTCTTACCACAAATATTTGTCTTTTGAACTCCGTTGCAAGACACTCTATTGCTATGTCATCGCCAAAAGCAGCAGCATGACCTTCTCTATTCTCGTCTACAGTTAATAAACCCTCCTTGGTATATTGCAAAGTGATGATATCATATTCATCATCAGGAGAACCAGAGATTGACATGTACTTCGCCCAACTCGGGCCATCATCCACAGCAATGCATCTCTCTTTATAAATTGACTCCGCGGCCAATTCTCTTCAATCATCAATCAGAATATAAAGTCAAAAAACAAAACAAAAATACAATTACCAAATATTACAGAAACATCATGCTCAGTTCAATAGCATAGTTTTTTTCTATATGCAATTAAGATCAACCACTGACATTCAGTAACAACAGCGAGAAATCTTCATTTTCAATTTCTATTTACGTGCAAGTGCCCACACAAGACTAACAAGTTGTTATTTTAACTCTCAATACTAGAATAATAGCACGAGTACGGGCACAAACATAATGTTCTGTTCACTCTTATTAGACACATTTCACACACAGACATAATTTCATTTCACAAACAAACATTTCAGAAACACTGACTACATCCTTACCTTTTATGAAAAATGGGTTCTTTTGAGTATGAGAAAACCAAAGATAATAAGGAATGTCAAAAATATTTAAAGGGCAATTCACAGAAGAAAATGAGAATTCACAGAGCTTATTAAATTAGGAAAAAAAAATATCAGCAGAGTTATTCTCATCCATGGATATCTCCTCCATTGATCAAACAGAGGATAGCAGACAGTTTAAGGTAGCCGCTGTTTGGTAGCATACGAAGGGCAAAAGGCCAAAAAATTGGTTTTCAATCTTTCTTCAAATCAAGCCAAACATTTCCTTCCCACACAATAATTTCCTCGAGCATATAATTCCAAGAAATGCAAGATTTTGATATGTTCGTCTTCTTGATTCTTTATTTCCCACATTTTCTCAGCAATCAAACAGATCAACTAACTAACAAGAAAATTACCTCTGCATCCCAAGATGAACAAGCTCGTCAGTGGCCGAATCTAAGCCCTCACGATCTTCCTTCTTGGCTAACAACTTGACCTCCTGAACCACATGTATCCCCCATCCAGACTTGAGATCAGGCGAGTACATGTGTTTTATTGCCTTCTCAATCTCTCGTCTCTCCAGCCCACTCACAGATACAAGATCTTCCAGAAATCTCCGTACCGTTCGTCGCCGTAGATCTTGGGCGTCGATTGTGGATCGCATGGCCTTCTTAGAAGCCGTGAAAAGGCAGTTACCGTCAGCCTCTACATCTCCACCGTGACTCAGCTTAAACACCACTGATGCGTTTTGATCCTCTGGGTGTTTCCACATCACACCCTTCGCGTGGAGTCTCGTTAAATGTCTTCTTTGTTGGTCTTCTAAACCGGAAACGTTGTCCCAGGTGGTCGTCAACGCCTGGTCAGCTAGATCGACGGTGGTGTCGATCGTTTCGCGAGACGGAGCTGATGTCGGGTCTCTCCATGGAATCACCGGTGAAGACGTCGTCGAATCACATATAAGCTTTCCCATTGGTGGATTTTCTCTTCTTTTTTTGATTTTTTTTTTTTTTGCGAAATTCGTTTTTTCCCCTCTTCTCTTCCTCGTTGGAGAAGTTGCAGAAGAGAGAGAAAGATAGAGGGGGAGAGAGAGAGACAGGGAGAGAGGGATTAGGGTTAACGGGCGTATCGACGACGCGGGAGAGGTTCAACACGTGGCTGAATCTGAATATTTAACCGTTACAGGAGGGGTTTTTGACCCGGGGGGTTTGGGAGAGGGGGGGTTCTGCTAACGTAAGCGGGATGGACCACGGTTGGTGAGGCTGAGCCAGGCATCTTACGGGGTTATAGGACAGTTGGCGCTCTGTAATTGGCGTTCATTGTAACGTCCTGGGTTTTTTCCTAGGCGTTTTTTTCTATAGAATTACGTTTTGAACCCAGAAAAATTTTAAATTTTTTTTTATATTTTTAAAGATTAAATTTATCACATTATCCCATCAATGTATAAAAAATGTTATAATATAACTATTTTATTAATTTTTAGTTAATTTTTTCATTAGAGTCAATTAACTTTATGACTAAATCGCAACCGTTAGAAATTTTTTGTAATGCATGTGGTTAACTTGAGATTTGAGATAATAACAATTCAAGTCAAAGTTAATATGCAATGTGAAATGATAAAAATGGCCTTGAAATTTTTAAAAAACAAAAACTCTCTCTGTGAATAATTTTTTTTTAAAAAAAATCAACTACATGTTCATGTCTTTTTGAAGTTTATCGTTAAAAAAAAGACAATGAGAAATATGTGGCAGTGTAAATGTGCGATCGAGTGCCACATATTGTGATTCACGTCACGTGGGGTCGGGGTCGGGGTAGGGATGGTCCCATCTATCAATTTCTAGGATATTGACTTGTCGGCCATTTGTGAAGGAATTACTAGTAAATACTACTACTCAAATATCAATCTTTTGTCATCTGTTTAGGGGACTTTTAAAGTACGACCTTAACATCTCTAACGAGGTTTTGAATGACTTTCTTGTATTGAAGCTGACGATGGAGATATAGATAGAAGGGTGTGGGCAAAGGAAGGACTTTCTTTCAACTTTATTTACGTCAAATGCATGGTATTGTGGTAGAAGGCAGATTGAAATTGCGGTGACATTTCNAAGGGTGTGGGCAAAGGAAGGACTTTCTTTCAACTTTATTTACGTCAAATGCATGGTATTGTGGTAGAAGGCAGATTGAAATTGCGGTGACATTTCCCACCAGACCTGACATGCTGCCTTACTACTTACTGCCATGTATTTGCGCTGTGGAAATCGGTAGCACTGAATCAATAATTTTGTTCAAAAAAAAAATCAATAATTAACAAACACATCATTCTACTTTTTAAAAATTATTATATTTATGAGCAATGCTACATAGACTTATAAATTAAATTTGATAATCTCAATTATTGATTTTACTGTGGGTCCCAGCATTTATTAAAACTCACTACTTATTTAATTATTGAAATTATCAAGTTTAATTTTTAAATTCATCTAGCATTACCCTATATTTATTCAGTGATGTTTTTAGAAACTTATTATATAGTTAACATGAGAGCGTGATTATAACTCAACAATTATATATCTAAAAACATCATTTAAATGATACTTTCATGTAATTGTGCTGCTCAAACAAAAACAGTTTTTGTTTGACATTTCCGCATCAATGACATGAATAGATATTGTTTCATTTAATTTTTCCATCTTTAATTCATGTCGTACAATGTCTAGAGATCGAAATCCTGTTTCTCAATCAATTGCTGACAAATTCTATAGAGATTACTAAACCACTAATGTCCTAATAGAGGCAAGCCACAGTTAAACACAAGTCACAATTCACATATTTCATTGTAAACACAAAGTATTCAAAACCATTGAGGGTAATGAAGATATTAGGGGCTTAGGGAGGCTGATACCTCCATAAAAACTTAATAGGATAAAAGTATATTTTTTAAAAAAATTGAGACAGAAGTACATCTATTAAAAAAAAATTCATTATAAACCCTTTTACCCATAGTTTTAAAATCCGGCCCGAACACCAACCCGGAGAAGGGACCGGGTCAATGAATTTCTGGTTCAACCACTGGGTCACTGGTCGAACCGGTGATATAATAAAAAAATAAAAAATAATTATTAATGATGATAAATAGACTAAAAAATTAAAATAGTTATAAAAATAACATGTTTAATATATATTAAATCAAACAAAGTTATCAAACCTGAATCACTTAATTGAATTCAATTAATAAACCAATGCATTCAATTAACAGCCCAGCCTCCACCCTCAAACTTGAATCACTTAATTGCATTCACTTAATTTTTGAGTTAACAAACACTGAACGAATGATTTAGGATTTAGGGCAAAACAGAAGGGGAAAAGAAAAGGACACAAAAATGTAAAAAAAAAACATATTTATACTAAAGGAACAAAACCGACCGATTTTGTAAACCCGATCCGGTTTTCACGGGTTACCAATTTTTTGACCAGTTCACCGGTTCTTTGCTCAAACGGTCTAATTACAAAACCGGCCCGGTTAGGGGACCGATTCACCGGGTCAACCCGTTGGGCCGGGCCGGGTTTTAAAACACTGTTTTTACCCCTACTATAAATAGTGCATATCTAATTCAATGTGAGACTTTTAATATTTTTTTTTATATTTGTGTATCATTTGAATTTTAAAATTTCATATATATATACACTGTGAGCCCGGATGAGGAGAATTCACCTCATCTCTTTGTGAGTTGTTCTTTTACTGATGCAATGTGGAGAAGGCTAGCTGGTTTTATGGGGTTTGTATTAGTTCCAGGGGAATCTCCAATGTGTAGATGTTTGAGATTGATGAGGAGTTTTAAGTCTCATACTGTGAGCCATGCCTTGATTAGGGGAGTGTCCATGTTGGTTTTTTAGGCCATATGGACAGAGAGATGAAGAAGGAGGTTTAAGGGTGTTGAGTTGAATGATTATGCTATATTTGCTCAAGTGACTAGTGCATTGAAATGGAAGATATACATGATTAAACCTGGTAGAATGGACGATTTAAGGGGTAAGGAGCTGCTTCATGACTTGAGGGTTGGAAGTTCATTTTCTATATCTACTAAAATTCAATGGAATAAATGGGAGCCTCCACCTATGAATGTGATGAAACTTAATGTGGATGGAGCTTCTAAAGGATGCAATGGTTTGTCTGGAGGTGGTATGGTTCTTGGGTTGCAGCTGCTGTTGCCTTTTATGGATTGGGGTCAAATATAAAGGCTGAATGCAGAGCCTTGTTGGATGGATTGAATATGGTTTTGCTGCATGGTTTTGATCAGCAACAAATTTTAATTGAATCTGATTCCCAAGTTTTACTTCAAATGTTAATGGGAAGACAGCTGTATCTTGGAGACTGCAAGGGGAGATGGAGCAGATCAGGGTGTTACTGGTTAGACTACAGTACCAGCTGAGACATATATATTGGGAGGCAAATGTGATTGTTGACTTTTTGGCCTCTTTTGCTGTTCAGACTGAGACTTATTCTGAATTTTCTACTCACAGCAGTCTGCCTTTGTCTGGTAGACTGCTTTTGCATCAGGATCAGTCTGGACTACCTAAGGCAAGGAGGAGGAAAGTTGTGGTTTGTAATCAAAGGCAAGGGGTTGGTTGATGCATCAGGTCCCATGAGCTAGTGTAGTTTTGCATCAGAGCTATGAGCTGAGGTAGCTGATTTAGGAATTTTATTTTTAATCTTCTTGAAGGATTAAAGCCAACTCTTGGTGGCAGGATTCTATTGCATCAAGTTCCAGGGAGCAGGCCTCCAAAACTGGTGTTCTTTTACTCTAGTTTGGGCTGGATGATGGAGGAGTTGATCTAATGCTGGAGTTGTGATCAGAGTTTACTGAGCTAGCCTGAAGATGCAGTATTTGATCAGACAAGGCAGGAGCTGAGCTGCAAGGCCAAAAACAGTTGTCGTACATGTTTTTTTTGATAACAGAATTTTGTAACAGATTTTTTATTTTTTTGTACAGTTTACTGTTTTGATTGTTAAAACAGTTATTGTTTTTTAACAGTTTCTGCTTTTTATTCTTGTAATTTTTGGATTTTATTAAATAAAATTCTCTCTTTTCCTAAAAAAAAATTCAATCAAGATGAACCCCAAGTTAACACAAATCCTTTATTGACCCAATCTCATGCAACTTGAAGGAGTTCAGAATATTTTTATACATGATTAGATCATTTAACACAAATAAGTGGCATAAAGTGACAAAAGATTTTAAAAAAGATAATTTGGTTTAGAATAAGATGTCTCTGATCGAGTGAAAAATGGTCCAAATTGAGCAGACTTCAGTACTAATCAATCAAAATTGGAATTACCCTCAACAGATAATTTAATTAACTAAGCTCCCCAAATTGAATTCTATAATAATAAGTCAAAATTGGAACTAAGTACACCTTAGTCTATTTTGACAATAAGGACAAACACAAATCTTTTAAGTCATTAAGGACACATCATTGTAATATATAAGGTATGGAGTCCATGGTTATCAATTGTATATTTAATGACAAAAATATCCTTCTCTTTGTTAATTCATTTGTCTCTCTCTTTCCTTCATTATTCTCTCTCCCCCTATCTATGTCGTCTCATTGTTTCTATATGCTCTCTTTTCATTTAATTTATCTCTAGTCTCTCTTCCTTCAAATTTTATGTAATCTCTATTCATTCAATTTTCTATTATCTCTCTTCATTCAATTGTTCTCTCAGTTAGAGCCTATCAGAGTGATCTTTGGACACTCTCTATTACCCCTATTCCTTTTTTACTTGGCAAAAAAAAATGATTCCCTCTCTCTTCTCTCTTCATTTAATTTCCCTTTCCTCTCTCTTCCTTCAATTTCTCTGTCATATCTTGTCTATCATTCTCTTTATATATATATATATATATATATATATATCTATCTATATAATAAAGTAGAACAAAATTTGAATTCAAAAGACAAAGAGAGGTCCAAATCGTTTTGAGACAAAACATAAATATATCCGACGGACAATGTAATCTCAACACAAAAGACGGTTCAAATCATCTCAAAAATTATGATCTAACAATCAACAATGGGTACTATATTTTTCTTTCCCACCCAACAACATTTCTTTTTTAAATTTTGTTTACGTAATCCTAAATGGCAGTGTTTTAAAACCCGGCCCGGTCCGACGGGTTGACCCGGTGAACCGGAGCCTGAACCGGGCCGGGTTAGTTATTGGATCGTTTGAGCAAAAGAATCGAACAAAATCCGTTGAACCGGTCTGTTTTGTAACAAAATCTATGAACCGGACAATTTAGAACAAACTGGACGGATTGCTTTGAATGCTATAAAATTAGGTTTTAGGAAATTTTTTTTGCCCAAATTCATTCATGGCCTTTTGTCTCTGCTTCTCCTCGTCTCCAAAGAGGCAACTGGTCACCCAACCCCCTCCCTCTCTCGCTCTCACACACACACGCGTAGAGCACAGTAGCACATCACTCAATCGAAGTGCCTAGATTCTTTGATTCAGATTTTTGGGCATTTTGCCCTAAATCGATTCAGTCCAGAGTTCCAGACCTCTTTGCCCTAAATCGATCCATCCAGACCACCAGTCACCATCGGCTAAGCACAACTCCACGAGCGACTGAGCAGCAACTCCACCAGGCACCAGTGATTGAGCACAGCCTCCAGTAGTGACGAGGTGAGTTCCTTCCCCCCCCTCTCTCTCTCTCTCTCTCTCTCTCTCTCTCTCTCTCTCCACCTATATATATAGCGCTTGAAAGGATTTGCATCCAATCGTGAATAGAGAGGAGGGGATCACATATAACTATCTTATTTGATTTAGCCATTTGATTTCGTAATAAAGATAATATCTGAAGTGGGTATTCTTTAAATGCTACTTGGGTCACATAAGTTTTAGAAACGATTTCGATTAAGGAAATGGGAAAAAAGGATGTAATCAATAAAGAACAAAGAGAAAGAAAATGGTATAACAAGAAAAAAAAAGAGTAGTACATTACCCATTTCATTTTGTAAGTTTTGATAGTTCAAATATAAATTTTTTGGGTTGTTGAGATATTGAGATATTAGCCGACTACTCATCTCGGATGAGATCACTGCATTAATATATATATCTATGTGTGTGTTTATGTTTATGTTTTTGTATCTGTAGTTTGTGTGGGAGAGACTTCTCTGATACGGTGGTTCTTTGTTTTCTTTACACATATTGTTCTTGGATTTTTTTGCCAAATTAACTCTGTTTGATCAGCGTCATTGAATAATTTGTATTTGTTAGATCCCCAATCTCAAGACGCTATGATGAAGAAATGTATTTTGATTCCTATTTCTAGAAATCTAATGTTGTTGCATTATCAGTTTGAATACATTGAAATTGGATGTGTGATAATTTTTGATTTTATTTTTGTAATATTGTGATTTTTTAGCCTATTTATTAGTATTTATAATTATTTTTTAATTTTTTATTACATTACCGGTCTAACCAATGATCCAACGGTTGAACCAGTAACCCATTGACCCGGTTCCTTTGCAGTGTTGACGCCCGGGCCGGGTTTTAAAACTATGCTAAATGGTGTTTGAATTTTTTTTTCCTATTCAAAAATTTGAATAAGTCTTTCATCTCATATACAACTCTAGACTCCTATTGCTCATGTACCTCTCTTCTACTCATACGATGTCTCTCTCTCACTTCCTCAGTCTCCTTTCTTAGTCACGCCTCTTCTTTTCTTTCTCTCTCTCTATGTAGAAAACACACACACAAAACAAAAACACTCACACGTGCACTTAGATCTTAGTGTGTTCACTTCTGCTTCTAAGAGTCCTTAAGGTCAAGTTTGTGCTTCATCCCCAAAGTTTAATAGTGAAATTTTTCCATTGATAGGTTTATGACTGCCCTCAGATATCTTAGAAGATATTGAGCCACAAGGGATGTTGCCCTTATTATCATTGCAAGGTACGCCATTAAGCGTGAAAACCAAAGAAGAACAAGAGTTCATGATCGAAGATGAAATTACTGTTGGGAAATTCGGAAAAGAAACAGAGACCCTCAATGCTTTTTACATAATCTCATTATCTTATGGGTTCAATTTGTCCCCACTTTTTGAAGAGAAGAAAAGGGAAGAGAGAGAATAGCTCTGATTTGTGACGACGAAGCCGGCGACGAGTGTGATATGGAGATTGGAAGAGGTGGCGAAGATCGTGAATTTCAAAGTGAAGAAAAACGACTCTGACGTGAGACTTCAGGGGCAAGAGAATGGAAGAAAAGGGAAGTTGGGCATCGCTGCCGATATTTTCACCGTGACACCAGCGTTCCTGGTGGTGGAGGTGAACAAGTCCTCCGACGATACTCTGGAGTACAACCAGTTCTGCAGCAAGAAGCTTCGGTCGACTCTGGAGGACATCGTCTAGAGGTTGTCCGCCGATCATTACACGCCAACGTGAACAATTCTGGGGAGTTCTGGGACTCCTCCAAATCCTATATGATGATGCACAAATTAGTTTGCACACCACTAGTCAAGTTATAGTATAAAATGCAGTAAGTAGAAGGGGAGAGAAGACAAGATTTATAGTGGTTCGGTCAATACGATCTACGTCCACTTTGAATGGCTATGTTTGCCGAAATTTTATTATCTCTGGTGTAGAGGGAGAGCACATGATTACAAGCTTTAAGAGGGGAGGAGAGAATTATGCTTAAATGAGTCTGATGGCCTTCAAGTGTTGGGTGAGCTTACAATTTATAATGGCTTGGTATAGTAATTGTATGGCTAGTCTGACGGTCATAATGGCTTAGGACCGTTTAATAGTAATTAGGTAGCTAATCTAGCGGAGGCGACCTATCATCTTCTCAACGGGCGAGGTGTGACGGTTGGTGTGCTCTCCAAAGGACTTGTTCAAGGATGAGGGAGGTTGACTCTCTCCAGGCTGCGAGGGTGAGGCTCTTGGCAGGGTTCAAAGTATCAGCCGAGTCTGATACGACTCGGCCATAGACGATACGATAACAGTACACGAATCGAAGATTGGCGAATTTAACTTGTATCAGCGATATCTCGGACGTCTCGGCCGAAATCAAAGGTGTCGGTGGAAACTCGATTCAACTCGGGCGACGCGATTCGGAATCCTTCCGAGTCAAACACAACAGTAGAAAAATCCCAAAATCTAACCCACACCTCTGCAAAAGATTATCAACACTCCTTCATTTTTTTTGAAAAATGAACAAAAATCCAAAAAAAAAAAAAAAAGAGGATGGGAAATAAAGCAGACCTACTGCCAGACTACCCGTTGAAAGACTCAACACCCATGTGAAAATTGCAGAAATCACATGAACCCTAAGACTGCAAACCCCTATAAAAAACCAAGATTACTATCATACCTGTAAATCGAACCCTGAAGCCATGTCGATCTTGTTCGATTCTTTGTTATGCTTGTTCAACTCTTTGTTGAGACGATTTTCTTCGGTCTATATCGACGAGGAGCTGCACTGCATCTCTCTGTCTGCACTACCGTGCAACTCTGGGAAGTGAGAAAGACGAAGAACCTAAAATAGGTAGGAAAAAAAATTGATTTTTTTATTTTTTACAGAATGTTTATATATTTATATTTGCCTTAAAAGTAACATAAAAATAGTAGTTCAAATGGGTGGTGTTGCAAATTTAGTTGCAAGGTCCCTGGTTCGATTCCTTGCCTCACATGTAGTTTGGTTTTTTTTTTTTTAACCAAATATTTATATATTTATATTTGCCTTAAAAATAACATAAAAATAGTAATTCAAATGGGTGGTGTTGCAAATTTAGCCGCAAGGTCTTTGGTTCGATTCCCTGCCTCACATGTAGTCTTGTTTGTTTTTTTAACCGAATATTTATATATTTATATTTGCCTTAAAAGTAACATAAAAATAGTAGTTCAAATGGGTGGTGTTGCAAATTTAGCTGCAATCTCCATGGTTCGATTCCCTACTGCAACATGTAGTCTAGTTTTTTTTTTTTTAACCGAATATTTATATATTTATATTTGCCTTAAAAGTAACATAAAAATAGTAGTTCAAATGGGTGGTGTTGCAAATTTAGTTGCAGGGTCCTTGGTTCGATTCCCTGTTGCAACATATAGTCTAGTTTTTTTTTTTAACCGAATATTTATATATTTATATTTGCCTTAAAAGTAACATAAAAATAATAGTTCAAATGGGTGGTGTTGCAAATTTAGCTGCAAAGTCCTTGGTTCAATTTCCTGCCGTAACATGTAGTCTAGTTTTTTTTTTTTTTACTAAGTGTTTATATATTTATATTTGTCTTAATATAACATAGACGTAGTAGCTCAATTGGGTAGACTTGCACATTGTAATGTTGTAGGTCATTGGTTCGACTCCTTTTTTTTGAGCGAATATTTATATATATGCCTTAAAAGTAACATAAAAATAGTGGTTTTTTTTTTTTGACTAAATATTTATTTATTTATATTTGCCTTAAAAGTAACATAAAAATAGTAGCTCAATTAGGTGATGCAAATTGTCATTTGCAGGACAGTGGTTCAANTGTTTATATATTTATATTTGCCTTAAAAGTAACATAAAAATAGTAGCTCAATTGGGTGATGCAAATTGTCATTTGCAGAACAGTGGTTCGACTCCTCCAAGACAAACATGCGTTTTTACATTATTGTCATAGTTAAATTACTTATTTATTGCATAAATATTAAAATTATTGTATTTTAATGATCAAAAAAATTATAACTTTAATGTAATAATTAGATACATCAATATTTTATAATAATAAATGAGTGGATATAATTTTCTTTTTTTTTTATTTATAAAAAATATATGTTCTATTTCTAATTATATAAAATTAAATGTTACAATTACAATTTTTTTTATATTTAAACTATTTCAATCAATTGCATGTTACTTGTTTAATTATTTAGAATTTATGACATTTGTAGAATGGCTCCTAAAAAACACGACATTGGTTGGGAACACGCAACACCTGTTGGTAGTGATCGACGAATTACAAAGTGCAATTATTGTGGTAAAATAGTTCATGGTGGCATTACTCGAATGAAACAGCATATTGCACATGTATCCGGGCAGGTGGAAGGATGTCCACGTGCACCAAAAGAAGTGTCGCAATTCTTGAGACAACATCTTAGTGATTGTAGTAAAGAAAGGGCTTCTATAAAAAAGAAAAAAGAACGAATTATGCAATCATTACGAGATGAAGATTGTTACAACCTGGATGACGACGATGATGATGATGGTGAGAATCAAATTGAAGATGGTTATTTTGAAAGAAGACAGTTAAAGCATGCAATGAAGGAAAGTCGTCAAATGGCTTGGATGGAGGAAGAGGGTCGTAGGCATTCTGTATCAAATGCAAGCGGTCGATCATCACAACCATCAAGCTCAGGAATCAAGCGCGAACCACCACGTAGCTATAGCACAAAAGAAGGTGCAAGCATGCCTGTAAATGGCCTTGATCCGTACATGTTCCCGTCGAAACAAAAGTCAGTAAAAGACATGTTCTCAAGTGCGAACCTGAAAAAATGGAAAAAGCTATTTCGAAGTTCTTCCTCTTCAATGTCATACCATTCAATGCAGCTGATAGTGGGCCTTACTATCAGTCAATGATTGACACTATTGCGGATGCAGGCCCAGGTATAAAGGGTCCCACAGGATATCAAATTGGTAGTTCTTATTTGGAGGAGGAGGTTCAAGAGCTTGATGTGTACATATCTTCGATGAAGGTAAAATGGCCTCAGTATGGTTGCACAATCATGTCTGATGGGTGGAGTTCTAGAACAAAGAAATCCATTATCAATTTCATGATTTATTGTGACCGTAATATGATTTACCATACATCAATTGATACCACAAATATTTCAAAAACTGCTGACTATATTTTCTCTCTTATGGATAAAGTTGTTGATGAAATTAGAGAAGAAAATATAGTACATGTAGTAACCGACAATGAGGCAAGCTTTAAAGTAGCTGGTAAGATATTGATGGATAAAAGAAAACATTTATTTTGGTCTCCTTGTGCAGCTCATTGTATTGATTTGATGCTAGAAGATATTGGTCATATGAAAGTAATCAAGGAGACCATAGATGATGCTAAGACGATCACATCTTTTATCTACAACAGTCTCAAAGTGGTCAACTTAATGAAGCAACATACCAAAGATAGAGATTTATTGAGGTCAGGTATAACACGATTTGCCACTGAATTTATGGTCATTGAAAGTCTTATTCGTTATGAATCGGACTTGAAAAGAATGTGTACCACCGATGAATGGCGTGAGTTCAACAAAAACAAGAAGAGGAGAAAAACAAGAGATATAGTCTCAAATCTTATTTTGACTGACCAATTTTGGAAGACGGCTAGAAAAGTTCAATCTATCATGGAGCCTCTTGTTAGGATCTTAAAAATAGTTGATCAAGACAAAAAATCAACTTTATCAATTATCTATGAGGCAATGGACAGTGCTAAACTAGTCATACAACATTCAGTCAAAAATTGGAAGAAATACTGGGCTGTGATTGACAAAAGATGGGAGATCCAATTGCACAGACACTTACATGCAGCAGATAAAAGTATTTAAAAATATAAAATTTTCATTGTATATTAGCTTGTAAAGTATTATAGTTTTTCACTAACTTACATTAAATTATCAAAAATTTTGCAGCTTATTTTTTAAATCCAGTTTTTCAGTATTCTAATCAATTTTCCAACCATCCTGAGATAAGATCTGGTTTGAAAGAGGTTATTAAAAGATTGGAACCAGATTTGAATAAACAAGCAAGGGCAATGAATGAGGTATGACGATTTTTGATAATTTTTTATTATAATATGTGTATATATTTGTCGTTTACGTAATACATTACACAATAAATTGCAGATCAAATTATATACTGACAAACATGGCGAGTTTGGGAATGCACTCACTAGANTATATATTTGTCGCTTACGTAATACATTACACAATAAATTGCAGATCAAATTATATACTGATAAACATGGCGAGTTTGGGAATGCACACACTAAAAAAATTGTACATGCCTCCCTTCCAGGTTTATTATTTAAACTATATGTATTTAGTAAAGTATCATTTGTTACTCTTATGGACAATACTAATATTGTACAGTTTTTTTTTTTGTAGCTGAATGGTGGATCAATTATGGTGAAGAAGTTCCCCATCTGTAAAAAATTGCAGTCAAAGTTTTAAGCCAAACATATTCATCATCGGGGTGTGAAAGAAATTGGAGTACATGGTCGTTGATCCATACAAAACTTCGCAACCGATTGGCAATGAAAAAGTTACATAAGCTAATTTTTGTGCACTACAATATGCGGTTGCAAGTTAAAAATTTGACATATCAGCGTGAAAATGATGATTTTTATAATCCAAGTGATCTGAACTAT